TGACCCAGTCATTCAGTGCAACCCAGTCATTCAGATCTTCATCTGTGGCTAGTACTTGACTGAGCTTGGTAGTATTAAATCCTTACCATGAACTGTGACCTAGTCATTCAGATCTTCATATGTGGCTAGTACTTGACTGAGCTTGGTAATATTAAATCCTTACCATGAACTGCAACCCAGTCATTCAGATCTTCACCACGTGGAAGCCTTACGACTTGTTTCAAGTTTATTCCAGAATTCAGGGATGCTTGAGCTCGTTTGTGGAGGGAATACTTTAGAGTCCCAGGTTCAAACTTCTTCCTGGGCCTGAAAGTCTTAAAAAAAAAATGTGTACTGCATATACAGACATTACGTATACACGTCTTAAAAATAGGACTTTTCCTTTTCGAAAAAACCACTAAAAGGTATATTTTGGAAGATTTACAATTAATCTTTAGTATTTTATGCACAATGAATGAAAAGGACTAAGTTATTAGCTTACAACTTCAGAGTAGTTTGCCAAGTTACTTAAGTCAACAATAACTTATCATTGGATTAAGTTATAATCCATAGATTTTTGTCTAATTTTCTATTACAATTTTATTACTGTTGCATTGTTATAAGACAGTAGTATTAAAACAGAAAACAATCATGACCACACTGTTAGTTCCATGGTAGTTATTTCTTAATAGGTGCTCCACTTTATGTGCTCCTTTGCGTTTTCTTATAATCCTAGGATTCTTGAAGTCGGCATGACGTCACAGTTGTGTGATTTTGTCTGGTAATGTGATCACCATCTTGACAAAGTGGCAAATAAAAGTGAAGCAAGTACAGCTGTGTGTATATAATTTATATAGGTCTACCATACACACGTGTTATTGCTGCGAAAATTATTCGATTATTGTTTAATTGTCAATTGCAATGTATTACCAATACGTGGAGAAGTTGTCGGCTGAGGCATTAGCGAGATATCGAGTAAAGTTAGAATTAATTGAGCTTGATTTTTGTCTCACCCTGCCAATACGTAGATCATCAACCCAACAAAATGGCCCAGTGTGCAGTACTCAGACGTGTACAATTATCTTATGTTAAAAAGAAATCAGAAGATAACATGATATAAAATGAGCTGAACAAACAACTTTACTATTGCTTCTTGTGGTCGAAGATTGATATCTTTCAGCCACAACACTTCTCTCCTTTTCAGTAGCTTGTTTTTGTGGGAAAACATGTAAACTACCAGGTCAAACTAGTTTTTAAAACAATTATCGACAAACTGTCTTAAGACTAATCTAGGCAAGGAATAGAATCCCACAAATGTTTACTTTTTGCTTACTATTAAGGTGAGTTGGAAGACTGGGTATAACATAGAAGGAAAGTTCAGGTCTTTTCAATTTGTTATTGAATGTGAAACAAATCTTTACCATAAACACAAATAGTCCTTATGAATACGAGTCTTGACAGTGGGTAAGTGTACAGAATGAACAAAATTTCTCCTCAGACATTCTATTGGTTTGTCCCTTCACCTCAGTTACTATGCAGACATTGCCAGATGTCCAACCTCAAGAATACAGTATGTATAGATTTAACAATTAAATTTAAAACTAAAGATGCTAATGGCAAGCTATTTGTTGAAAATTTAGGATAACTAAGCTTTTAAATGTTCTCTTCTAAGTTCTACTTTTTAGAATAAAAAATACTATCAATAATAATAGCAATATTCCTGACCTAAAAATGTTATGAGAAATATTGGAATGGAATTGACATAAAATGCTAAACCACGTAGATATCAATACACTGGTAGTAAGTACTACAATAGAAAGAATGACAGGTTAAACATAAAGTATCAGGGCCAGACAAGCGTTTTAAACCAAACTTCAGTAGTACTACTACTACTATTTATTAGTAGGAGTAATTGTCATAATTTGTAACATTGGCCTAACCTTAACTTGTGTTATATTTTGATTAAGAAGTTAGCACACAGGATCATATACGAAATTTGTAATAGTTTTCAAATGAGACTCTTTGGGAGAAGAATAGTAAACTATTCGAAAGCGCTCGAGTTTTGGGTTTCGTTTGAAAACCTTAACTACCGTTAGTTACTATTTGGATTTAGGCTTAGGCCTAATCACTAGTTTTGTAGTTGTAACTTACACAAGTTACAATTTTACAATGTGAATAAACTTGATAAAGATAAAACATGAATTTTGTAATTCAAGATGCTCCTACAAAGTACATTCTACATACACTTAAGTTTGAAATATTTAAATATAAGCTAGAATAATATACTTCCACTATATATAAGTTATTACACAATTTTGAAGAAAAAAATTATCGAGCTTACTTTTCCCTTGTGAAACATGTCAACAAAGTTTGCCATCACGTAAGTAGGCTACATCAGGTAAGCCAATTAACATCTGAAAGATGACGCTCTTTCCAATTAAAAAGAAAAGAAAAAATAACATAGTTTCATAAGTGCATCAGTTAATTTTAAATTTATATTTAAAAGAAAAGATAAATAACTATAATTACGAATACATAAATAAAAATACCGTGAGTTCCAGAAAATCTTGTAAGTTGTTTTATTTGTTTAACGTTTCAGATTTATGCCTTCATCAGAGTACAAAATTTCTGTAATGAAATTAAGACCGCTGTATTTCATGCATGTGATAATTACTAGTTTTCCAAAGCCTGTGTCACATATATCTATATAAGTATAATAGTACTGTTTGTTGTCTGTCAATGTAATTATTTCGTAGGGTATGGATGGATCTTCACAAAAATTGGCATGAAGATTCATTAGGTCCATGGGGAGATACATATAGATTTTCAGTTTTGCATTTTGCGTTTTGCGGTTTTTGAGTTTTTTACCAATACTTCATCTCCTGTAGATGCATCTTCACCAAATTTGGTACGTAGGTTTGTTGGGTCGTTGTGAAGATGCATGCAAGTTTGTGATTTTTCACATTTTGCGTTTTGCAGTTTTATGGGCGATTTTTACAATTAAATATAATGGAAGCAACTTTTCATGTCCTAAAATAACCTTTCATTAATCATGAATTTACATAACTTCCACCCATCAACTTTGCACCGAAACATGTTTTAAAACGCCAGGAATATTTAAAATATATACACAAGATTTCCTACAGAGGAGTTAGTGGTGTGGTGATGTCTTTTCTGTATGTCTGCAAGCATTTGCAGTTGCAGCACTTTTGTTTTTACTATCCAAGACTTCACATCTGGTAGTGGATTCCACTGATTCAGAGGTGGCGCCAATTGTTGGATATAAAAATCAGTACACTCGTGTGTGAGCGACGTACACCTATCCCAGATCCACCTAACTGTGATAGTTATCCACAATTTTAATCTTGTCCAATAAAGACCATTTTTGGCATATTGTTACGTCTCCGTTCGTTAGTTAATTTTCCGTAACTTCGTTC